CCGAGGGCCCCTTCTCCTTTGACTGGGTCTTGCCCTTCCTCTTTGCGAACAGGGCGCTGGCATTCATCCTGCTACCTGCAAAGAAACAACAAGTTAAAAGGTTAGAACCGAGGGGTCAGAGACACGACAACAAACATGACAGAAAATCTCTAAGTACAAAAATGTAAAGCCCCCGGCCACTACCTCCTGCTCCCACGAAGGTTTTATCATAGAGGGGATACTTCTCATCGGTCTCCCCAATGAACCAATACCTCAGGAATCCGAGGGCATATAGGTCTTCCTCGAGGATGCACTCCTTGATGGTTATGTTCTTATCCCGACCTTCCGGAATCTTGGCAATCTTCAGGCCATCCTTCTCGAGGGCGGCACTCTTGACCTTCACATGGCGCCGAAAGCAATTCCGCAACTCCCTCGGGAAAGGGCTGTCGACCAGTCTGATGTAGCACCATCGCTCTCTCCACCCCTTGTTGGAAGAAGGGGCCTCGGTGAACAGTTTGAACTGGGCTATGTGCTGTAAGTTCGCATAGCCCTCGACATTGGTATGGCCCCCCCGGCATAGGTTAAAGCTTTGGAAGAATAACTCCAAGCTCGGTGTAACCCCCCGGAGTTTGCACAGGTTCACAAACCCAGCTATGTATGAATGGCTATTGGGGGTCAATTGGCAAGGAACCAGGCCAGTGTACCTCAGGTACTCCCGGAGGAACGGATGGAGAGGGAACCAGAGGCCCATTGAAACCGAGAGCACGTGCACGGCTATACATCCCTCGGGAGGCCGGGACAGCACGTCATCAGGACCTGGCTCGACTACTACGGCCGAGGGCCCTACGTGCAACTGGGTGATGTAGATGTCCGCCCTTTCAGCTTGGGACTTAATCTCCAGAGCGGCGGTGTCCAGGAAGGAGTAACCCTCCGGTAGATCAACTGGCCCCCCTTGATCGACGGCCTTTACTTTCTTCTGGGGGCCAGCCTTCGTCTTCCTCCTCTTCTTCCCGGGGGCTACACTTAAAGGCGTCGGGTCCAGTGGCCTCGAGCTACTTGCTTCCCCAGAACCCCGGGGGGGAAGAACAGCGACAATGACCTTCGCCCTCTCCTTTTCCTCCTCCTCTTCAGCAACTTGGACGGCGAGGGCCAACTCTTCATCCTCGGCGGTTCGCTCGAACTCCTCCGCCTCGACCTCGGCCACCAGATCCTTCTGCACCTCGGTGGCGAGAGCTGCATCACCACCACCCGAGGGCTGACTGCTACTGGACTCCATGTCGGAGATGCTTTCGTCCTGAACCGAGGGGGTCCTCGAGATGTCCTGAGAGTCACTCTGGGAAGACATTCTAACTCTAGCTCGAGGTTTCGGGGAACTAAGGTTTCTAGGTAATTCTATCTCCTAACCCGAGGGCACAATGCACAGCTAAACTAGAAGGAGAAAGGCAGGGGGCACTGACCTCGAAAGCTGAGTTAGGACCAAAGGCTTGAGTTTCTCTCTCTAGAATTTTTGGCAGAGCTTCGCTAAGACAGATGATCGCACAAGGAGAAATGGCTCTGGCCTTGGGGTATTTATAGGCGCTGGAATCCGGGCTTGGGCTTGGATTCCGGGCCTCCGGATGGACCGCCATCATTACACACCGCGTCTTCACCCAACCAGTGATGCCGCCCACGGACAGCCAGCCATCACACGCCACGTGTGCCCCCCAACGGCTATATCCTATCGTTACATATTCCAACGGCTATATTTCCAACGGCTATATTCTGGAAGCCCCCGGGTTTTCTACTTCACTCCACTTCGCCAAGGAGAGCCTCCGGGTACACTTGCCAGAGACGCCCCCGGGTTGTGCCCCACACAGCACATAACAGACGCCTTCGGGATCACTCCTTCAGAAACCCAAGGTTTCATATCAGGGGGACCCCTCGGGGATTCCCCCCAGCACTGTAAGAACCGGGTAGCCCCCGGGGAGTTGCCTCATTGACGGATAACCCATGGCACACAGGTAATGGGAGCCCTCGGGTATCTTCATCACCAACTGATCAACAAATAGTGGACCCCCCGCTAACAACTCCACTGCTGCCCTCGGTCCCCAGATGGAGGGGCTCCCCTTCGGCACCCCAGGACATCAACAGCAAGCTTTCGGCTAATCAATACATGAGCCCTCAGAAAAAGGAGAGCCTTCGGCATTACCGTTATTCTCCATTTTTGACCAAGGTTTGACATTTTCGATTCATCATTGGGGGAATTCGGTGCACTCTTTTTCCCTCATTAGGATTTTTTCCCACAGGGTTTTTTCTAATGAGGTTTTTAACGAGGCATCCCCCCAAAATGAAACGAAAAGTGTCAGCCTTCGGCCCACAACAGCAACGCAACTACTCTACTCCTTTTCACCACTTTACAAGTGCCTCAAGGAGTGGGGGACTGGAGGACCCCCTCGGGAAAATCATTAAATTACAAAATTAGTGAAATTCCAACAAACGACAAAGCAAGCCCTCAAGTCCCGACATGTGGGTAACTGAGGGACTGCCTTCGGCAGGGACATAAAAACAACAACTCCTCACCAACTTCAGAGGTTACGACAGGACAACGTCAAAGGGCAAGCACAAATTACTCCTTTTCCCTCAAGTACCTTTCGGCAAAAGGAGTGAGGGACTCCTGATGGAGTATATGGCCCGGGAACCCCCGGCCCACAGACTCCTACTACTCCAGCGAAGGCCCAACAGGCCCGGAAGGCCCAACAGGTCCAGATCACATCACCCAGAGTACCAAGCAGCCCGCACTACGCGCCAGGGGTGCCTTCGCCCCCCTGGCCGAAGGCTCTAAACTCTCACAGAACGGGTTTCTCAAGCAAATTAAGAAACTGGGAGAAAACGGCGAAAACAGTAGCCCTCGGCACTGTGAGCCCTCGGCACCAGGGTGCCATCGGTTGGAGGAGCCCTCGGCTACTACTCTATAGCCGAAGGCATCTCACTCGACAAGATATCCGCCTCACATGCGTACAGATCACCGTATCCTGCACAGACGTCCCATCCAACAGCCGCATTAAATGCGGCCACATGCGGCTGCCAGCGCCAATCAGTTGAGGTGACCCCTCGGCCAATGAGGGCTTGACACGTGTCCCTGTCCGGCATTTATTGCTACTATAAATAGCACCCCATTTCCCCATTTGCAACCACGCTGGAAACGCTCCACATTTATAATACACTCTCTCTCTCTACATTTACTTGCTCTGACTTCTCTCTAAGTTATTCCCCGCAATAACCCTTCGGATATATACCCCTGGGTAGACTATCCATCAAAGGTACTTTTAAATTTATTTCTCAAATATTTTTTTTCCTAGTCATCGAGTTGTAGGTGCCATGTCACCAATACTCATGTTAATTTAATTTCCATATCACTGACCTGCTTCATCTGTAGTCCATGTCATCTCGAATTTAAAATATCCAAAAATTTCAAGCAATTGGGAGTTGAACCTGAGCCATTCCAATTGAAAATCAGAAGCTCACCCAACGAACATGCACAAGGAGTTGTCACATTCCATTCTTTAAGAGTATTTGAAACACAAAGTCCATGTCATATTGTCCCAAGCAAGTTTAACTTCTAATGGGTTTATGTTCTAAATTATTATGTACCCATCTATCATATGCATGTATAGAAGTTTGAATTCAATAAATCAAATGGCTTACCTTTGGCATTATAGGCTAAACCATGTGAATAAAGAGTGCATAAAAAAAAGGTTGGAAAGAAAGGTTAAAGGATGTGCAACAACAGAACTTCATTGGCTATCATATCATGACAATTTAAATGCTAAAAAAAATAAATAAATAAAGAGTGCATCCAAAAGATCCATTTCATTGACATTTCATGTGTTTAGGAGGGAAACCCAGAGTCGGGAAAGCTCAAATTTACACTCAATACGTACAAATATAGGACATGATCCGCAGGCTAGGCATCTAGGGTTTATGTTAGGGGAAAGGGTGGGAGTCTGAGAACTACATCCTTTGATTATTTAATTAAAGCAAATGACATGTGAGTCAAATATTTTACAAGTATATGCTATGAGTATTATCTTATGGTTGAGACAGTGTATACTATGCCCTTATATGTACGAAGTATATATCACCTATGTTTGTGTCATACTTGAAAGATAATTGTCGACCATATAGGATGCATGCCACTAGTACTACTTTCTGTAAAGTACTGATCTCTTCGGGGGCTCTCACTATTTTACAAGTTGAGACTACAGTTCTCTTTTTCGCGCCTTTGCATTAGGTGATTGTTTGAGAAAGGAAGACGTGGTTTGTGCTTCCCGTTTATACTTTAAAGTTATGTAAAAGCTCGTTGATATTTCTAAACTATGTTTCGCAAACATTTTGGAGCATGTATGTTCATGATTTTCACATGTGGCGTAAATGTTGATGTTGGTTATATGTGTTTACTGATCAGATTGATGTATGAATCTGTTGGACTCTGTGCACACTGGTTGTCGACGTGTCACAGACGTAGTTTAGGGCATGGTAATAACAAAATTCAAATCGAAATAATTTCGAACGATAATCGTTGGAGCCTCGAATTTTATATAAAAATGTTCCGGATCTAAAGTTTTCAAATAAAAAAATCATTTTGAATCGAAAAATCAACAAATAAATTAACAAGAAAATAATCTAAAATGCAACATCAACAAGGAACAGAGAAGGAGAATGAAAGACATGAAGAAGGAAGGAGAAGGAGAAGAGGCGAAGGAGAAGGAGAAACACTTACATGGAGACACATCAACCAAAGCAGAGGAGCGCGAAAATGGAGATTACATGCGGAAAGAAGAGAAAGTAAGAGACCAATGGATATATGGATTTAACTTACGATATACTAGAGGTTAAATGTTAATACTCCGTATGAAATATAAAACATTAACTCCTACCTAACATTTGAGAACTTTAAATATGTTTTAATCAATATTTAGAGCAATTACTTTTATGATTATATATAATTACTTTTATTATTATACGTAGTACAGTATATATCATGGCGAATTGGTGTTGAATCTTATCTCCCTAACAGCAATTCTGCAGAGTTTATGTTGCTCCGTAATCGTTATATGTCCTTAGACCTCACGAAGGCGAATCTGACGCCCCTGACCCTTATTGAACCCTTCGGAACTGCCTCAGAAGTAGAAGAACAAGAAAAGTCAAGACCCGCACTTCGATCCCACCGCACGTCGCGTAGACGAAGATCTTCCAAAGTCGATCACTCCCCATCCCATCTCTCCACGATCCACAATTGTAACTAACATTGACGGAGAACCCAGAATATCCCCCCTAGCTAACTTCTCCGGAAAAAGAACTCCAACTTTGATACATTTCATCTCAGATTGTAGAGTTATCAGCTTTTGATTGGTGCTGGGAGGATGATGAACACATCTGGGACTAATGGTTTGTTGGCGTTATCGTCTACTTCGGGCAATAACACGCAATCCCCTGGTCTGAAGACGCATTTCAAGACTCCAGAGGGGAGGTATAAGCTTCAGTATGAGAAAACTTACCCCGCTGGCCTTCTTCACTATGGCCATGGCAAGACCGTTACTCAGGTTCTCCATCAACGCTATAGTTGGATTGATTTTAGTTTTTTTCAGTTTGGGCATGGACTTTCAGTTTTTCCCCGTAGTCTGCATTGAAGGAGACAACTTCACTTTGGAGGTCTTGTAAGATTTGATTTTTGGGCTAGGTTTCGCAAAAGGAATTTGTGGTTGGGATTTTTCAGTTTGATTGTCTATTTCTTCACTTTTTTTCTCTTAGTAATCAGCATTCTAAAGGCTAGTATGAAGGAAATGGTTTGACTTTGTAGTTTTCATGTTCTTGTAAGATTATTTATGTGGGATACAATTTGAAACCTTGTGGCTCAATTTTGTAGACTTAGAGCCCTTTTAGTAGCCAAACGATGACTTATTATGCTTATCAATGGAATAAGCAGAAAATCTCTTTGCTTACTTTGTTGGCTGAAATGAATTTTATCAAATTCTTTTCCTTTCAGGAAATTCAGCGAATTCAATTATACGTTCAGTCTCTTAAGCAAGCCCTTAGTGTGTAAATGTCTGTTTTATAGACCTGTTAACATGTCCTTTTATTCCATAAGAAGCCAATAATATGTGAACATGGCGTATTGGTGCCTCTCCATGTCTCTTTATGGTGAGCTTGGATTCATCTCTAGTGTAAATATATAGTATGGAGTAGTAATTTCCCATCTGAAGTAATCCATGTATTTCTGAAACAATAAAATTTAAAAATTTATCTTTAAATTTATAACTTACTAGAAATGATTCATTGATTTGTTATCATTACATGCAAATTTTGATGAGAAATGTTTAACTATTGACTTCGATGTCCAGGTAACCCTAGCTCATCTCAAAGACAAGCCAATGCAGACACAATCACAGTTATCAACTTCTGGGACAAACAGTAGTGTTAGGTCTGCAGCAGCAAGGTTGTTATTGGGTGGTGGAAATGGGAGTAAGGCACTTAGTTTTAGTGGCTCTAATGGCGGAAGTAAGTCCGTTAGTGGGATGAGTACTAGAATTGGATCATTAGGTGCTTCAAGCTCAAATCAGTGTGTAGGTAATTCAAATTTTGATGGTAAGGGAGATTACTTGGTGTTCAACGTTGGTGATGCAGTATTTATCTCTGACTTGAACTCTCGTGATAAGGTTTGGTTTTAATCCTTATTTTAACTTCCTGACCCGCATCATTTTGATGATTTATGAATTTCTGGCAATTTATTATTATTATTATTGTTATTTTTGGATTTTAGGAGCCTATAAAGTCGATACATTTTAGTAATTCAAACCCCATCTGCCATGCTTTTGATCCAGAAGCTAAGGATGGTCATGATCTCCTTATTGGTTTAACATCTGGGGATGGCAAGTAATTTTTTTAGTTGCTTCGCCCATTCAAAGTGGATTCTTATGCATTAAGTCCATCTTTAAATTAATTGTTGTTTTATGTATTGTAGTTTATTTAGTGTCTTTGAGGCAGCAATTGCAAGACATCGGAAAGAAGCTTGTTGGAGCACAACATTTTAACAAAGATGGCTCTGTTAACAACACGTAATCCCCCAACTCATTCTTGGTTTGATTACTTATATCTTTGGACTTTTTTAAACATTATAGTCCTGATAAATGATTTTCATTTCCAAACCAAGCTTTTGTGTTTAATAGTACTTGTTTCTAGAGATTTTTTGGACAAAAGTTATATGAACATAATTTTTTTATTGTAAATTGATCATGCGTCTAGGGATTAAATTTCATTGCCAAATACACCCTCCACCCCATATTATTTATCGTTTAAAGGATTCAAATAAGAGTCATCTGGCCTTATTTATAAATTATAATGTTTCACAGTTCTATTATTAATAATTCTTAGAAGCTGTTAGTCTCTCTCAAATAAAGTGCCTTTTTATCTAAAGGTATGAAATATTAGAGCATTTAGTAATCTCGAGTAGTGTAATAAATGTTCTTGTCTTTAATACTCATTTTACAATTACTAACCAGTTGTATGCTTATATGAAAAGATTAAACAGGGGGAATATAGGAAGACAAGTGGAAATCTTATCCTGAATTTCTAAAACGACATTATCTTGGGGCAAATTCTTATGGCAAAAAACAACAAATGATTTGGGACGCAGTGAGTAATTTTATTTTTACTTTTTGTCTACAACAGCCGTTGTACTAGTATTGCATGGGTGCCTAATGGTGATGGAGCTTTTGTTGTTTCTCATGCGGATGGAAGCTTTTATGTCTATGACAAGGCAAGTCTTGATGATCTCAAGAGCTTTAAGAATTGTATGTGCATAGTAGTAATTATCTCAAAGATTTCTCTCTTACATAGAATATAATTAATTGTGGCTCATTTTCCAGAGTAAGGATAGTTCAAGTGATCCTTCATTTCCAGTTATTAAGGACCATACCCAATTTTCAGTGGCACATTCACGCCACAGTAAGGTATCAATATTTTTCATTGTTGCACTTGCCTTCTTGAAATTGTTTCTGAATAAATCTTAATTAAATTGATGTTGCATATTTCTATACAGAATCCTGTTGCCAGGTGGCATATTTTTCAAGGTGCAATAAATAGCATTGCTTTCTCAACAGATGGGACCTATATTGCAACTGTAGGGAGAGATGGTAAAAAGATTCTAATCTTTTTGTGTACTTTTCTTTTGCTTTTGCTTCTTGGAAGTATTACATTAGTTTATATGAGAGATTAAGAGCTAAAGTTGAGAAATGTATATAGGCTACTTACGAGTATTCGACTACAGAGGTGAACAACTTGTATGTGGTGGGAAAAGCTATTATGGTGCACTATTATGTTGTGCTTGGAGGTAACAAATGCTGTTTCTTTTATTGAGTATATAGTCATATGACATTGAGCTTTATGGCTATCCTATACCTTCCTTGCCAATTTATATGCTCCCTTTGTCCAAAAAATCTTGTTTCAAAAGCTTTTCAGATCTAAAACCAGTCGCATTTCACTGAGCGGAGCTGACTTTTCACAGTTTGCCAAATATACAGTTACAAAACAGTTAAATATGATAGATTTAGTTTTACCAAAAGTTTAATTTTAGTTATATAAATAGGATTCCGTGATTTGTAAGAGTTCTCCTTGCCGTATGCCAACAGTAGAAAGATGTATCTATACCAAAAAGAAATTTCCTTGTACAGAGTTTTTTTGCTTATATATTTGTATTTATTTTTCAACTAGATGAATTGCAACTTATAGTAATTTAATGAACAGCATGGATAGTAAATATATATTAACGGGAGGAGAGGATGACTTAGTTCAAGTTTGGAGTATGGATGAGCGGAAGGTTGTAGCATGGGGAGAGGGGCACAACTCATGGGTAAGTTTTTTATAAACCACCTGGAAAGCTTTCTACTTTTAGTAATGTCCAAGACCATTGGATGCATTACCCTGTCAACACTTTTCTACACAGGTGAGTGGCGTGGCCTTTGATTCTTATTGGTCAGCACCTAATTCAGATTGCTCAGGCGAAAATGTTGTCTACCGGTTTGGTTCTGTTGGCCAGGTAGTCTACTATTACATTTTTTCTTTCAATTATGAAAACTGATAGGGACTACTCATGTGTGGATTCATGTTAGCCGACCCCAAACTCTTTTGGGACCAAGACTTGGATGTTGTTGTTGTTATATGAAAACGAATCCTCCATCAATTACTTGAGCATAGCTAACTAATGGACATTGTTGGAAATTAAATAAGGCGGGGTTTGTATTTTCTGAGCTGCTTGGCTGAAACGCTTCAATTAGAAAACAATTAGCTCATTTTATTTTGATGTCCAATTCCTTGATCTCAATTTGATATTCTCGTTTGTTCTATACCAAGTTGATTTTATAAAAAGTTCGTGGTCAAACTTTTAGTCTGAAGGTTAAATAAGTAGACTTTAAGATAAGTAAGAGCATATGATGAACTAAAATGTTCTCTAATGGTTTACTAAGCTGACTAACAAATTCTGATATGTGCTAATGCTTGAACAAGGATTCGTAAGATGAAGATGTTTTTGCCTTTGGACTACAAATTGTCAAACTCTACGTTCTTTAGACTGCACTTTGGACTAGTTTGGTTTACTGTTAGTTCTTTGTTGACACTTGCAAAATACCTGCTTTCGTATTATTGTTTTTTGCCATCAATTTGTTGATCTGGAGTAGAAACCTGGAAAACAGTAGGAAAAAAATGGGGTGGGAATAGAGAGGAAATTTTAGAGGAATGAACACTTTGTGAAAAAGGAAAAGAAAACAGTTCAAGCTCAGCAAATCAATTTTATATCTTTGATTAAACTCATTTACTTGTATATTTCTATTATGTGAAGACTAAGAAATCAAAATTTACATAAATGATTTAAAGAGTTTTATTCAAATTGATTTTCCTCCGTAAAATAAAAACAATTTTTTTTAGCATTGTTTTATTTCCTCTCCGTGTCATTTTTCACATGCCAAACATGGCGTTACTTATTGTGTTTGATTGGTTCATGCACAGGATACACGATTGCTTCTATGGGATTTGGAAATGGATGAGATTGTGGTCCCAATTCGACGCCCTTCCAGCGGATCACCAACGCTCAGTACAGGGAGCCAGTCTGCCCACTGGGACATGGCAGGTCCTGTGGGATGCTTACAACCCGCTCCAAGCATGCGTGACGTCCCGAAGCTGTCACCTTTGGTTGCCCACCATGCTCACACCGAACCGCTATCCAGTTTGTTATTCACGCAAGAATCTGTGATTTCCATTTGCAGAGAAGGGCACATTAAGGTTTGGAGGAGACCGGGATTTGGTGAAAGCCCGACAAGCAACTCCGCCGCAGATGCTTTATTATTGAAGGAAAAACAACAACCAGTTTCAAGTAAGGTGGGTAGTTTGAATGTCAAACAGTAGCCATATGGATGGATGGATGATGACATCACTCGCTGTGTTAATCTGAATGGATGGTATCCAGGCCCCCCCTTGTATTACATACATTTCAGGGACACACGCCATAGTTCAGAAGAGAAGTGGGTCCAACCCAACCCCCTTGTAATTATGAGAAGGGTTATAAAAAGGAGTAAAGTGTTTCGATGAGCGGCGGCGGCGGCATGGGGAAAATAATTACTCATAATAATTTAGGTACTAGGACACACTCTTTATGTAGTTAGATAATCTGGATTTTAATATTAAGCTCTGGCTACACGATTATTAGCAAACAGAATTTTGCTTCGGGTTTTGCATTATTAGGTACCATAGTATCATATGTTCTTTTTTCCCTTTTAATATGGTCATATAATAAAACATACAGATGCCATTCATGATTATATTTTTGATCGGTGTATTTTTTTAGTTAGTATAATGGCTGATTCAGAGAACAACCAGACCACAAGTATTGTCTTCGAGGAGTGGCAAAAGGGAAGTTTTAAATACGATATGTGATCACAGACTAGCACAAGTCATGGTAATCTCTCCAAATATTTTTTTTTGGTTGGTAAACGAAAAATAATAATACTAACCGTGAATGCAAAAATAAATAGAGGAAGGAAAATAAGTAAATTGATTGTAGATATTAAAACAGGGTTCAAATTGGATGGATGATTCATGTTCTTGGTGTTCTTTCAGGATTAGAATTAAGTGAATTAATTTTCAATTAATCCTGGATAGAAAAAGAAATCAATTCTCAGATAAGAATTAAAATATATTATCACAATCCTAACTTATTTCTAAGATCAGATGCTTGTATAAGACTCATGCTAATTTAACTCAATTTCTCATAGACACGAATTGAATTAAGTCCAGACATTCATATATGAGGTGATCAAATTCATATAGACAATTATGACCAATCTTATACAATTTTCCAGAAAATTAATTGAATTTCAAAAACTAAATTCACACCCCAAGAACCCATGAACCCTAATCCCAATTCAAACCATATATGAAATTAGCCACTCATACTTAAAATTAACATCACAGTAATATAATTAAGCATGATAAAGGCTTGGAAAAAAACTGAAGTAAAATAATTGTTTGGGAATACTAAATTATCAGTTAGAGAAAAAAACAACTTCGAAATTTTATCCTAAATCGAGAACAAGTAATGTAAAATGTATTTAATTGTGGGATCTAAATAAACTTGGAAGAAAACTGCCAGTGCGCGACTGGAAAATGAAAGAACAGAAAAAAACATCAACTGCCCTTACGGCTGCTTACTCGAAGAAAAACCCCAGCTCCTCCCTTTTCCATTTTGGGCTGCTAAAGCGTCTGCTGCTTTTTTTCTTAATGGACTTCTGTGCCAAATTAATCTTAACAGATTCTCAAAATGTCCGGTCCAAACATAACATGTTAGTCACCGCAAAATTCAGCCTTTATAATCACAATTCATCACATCCGCTAAAAATATGTAATTTTACAATCAAATTACTCCAAAAATGTCAAACTGTGTACAAAAATACTACACTGAAAACGAATGGCAGCGGGACCGAAAAATTACAAATTTTCATTTAAAACCTCCAATAGTCACCCGATTAATTATAAAAATTAGACAAATAACACCCAAAATATGGGTGAAAAGATAGGAACGGAACGAGCCTATCAAATATCCCCACACTTGAGCGTTGCTTGCCTCCAAGCAACAGTGCATTAAACCCACGAAAACAAAATAATCACATGTGACACCTGGTTCAAAAATCATTCACACCCAAAACAAATGACTGCACAAGCTCTTTTCTTTCTTAACAACGAAACCAAGATTCACCTGTTAAACAATATTATCCAAAGTAAAATCCCCTTCCAACCGACTAAAATATAGAGAAAAGCATGATGGTCCCAACGGTGTAGGTGTGTGAAATCCAAACCACCAACCATTCCAAAAACCCAAGAATTGTGTGATAAAAACTGATATGCTCATGATACAATTTTTTTTTTGAATATGTAAAGTTGGCCAGGTTCTGGATTACAGGGCTGATTCAAGCTATAGGGCCTCGGAGTTTATCTCATTACTATGCATACTCAACTCTCACACGGGATGATTCACGAGATGAGCAGAGCCCCTTTTCGGAGATGAAATTCTCGACACACGAAGTGTAACCCCATAACAAGAATCAGTTGCCCGCTTAGCATGAATTTATCCCGATATGCTTAGAAAGCAGAGCTCATTACGGAGTAAGGATTTTCAACACCTGACCAGTCAAACAATTATTGATGACGAACTAGTGAATCACGAGAAAAACCGAATTTAATCAACACAAATCAAACCATCTAACATGCCAACATTCCCAAGAATATACACACCACCCCGATGATTACACCATTACTAATTCTTTCCAAGAAAGATGGAGGAGATGGAAGATTACAAATGAAAATAAAGATTAACAAGTTACCTTTGTTGCGTTGCAAAACCAGAAAAGAACCCGTACACCTCAAAATGTTGTTGGGCAGAATAACTTCATCACCAAATGTCATGTTTGAACTACAACTAAACCTCCCCACACTTAGGGGTGACATCACCCTCGAGATCACTGAAAAATTAAAAATAGAAATAACGGGGGCAAGTTAAAGAATATAATGGGTTTTAGCCCGACAACACATCATAATCATAATAATAATCAACACAATTCAACAAAGGAGTAATAAGAGAGTAAGCACACATTTTTAGCAGCGTAGTAAGAGTTGACAAGTTACTGTATAAGCCAAACTGCAGTGAATAACCTCCAGATTAACATAAAACTCAGCATCTGATAGCCCCTCGATCTCTGGTGGTGAGATATTTGGATAATGATCTTAGAACCATGATTTGTAAGCTGAAAAAAAAACTCCTAATTCTATTTCTTTCTCCCCCTCCTTTTAAGTTTTTTATGGTGGGTTGCCTCCCAGAAGCGCTTCTTTAATGTCACTAGCTTGACGATAAAATCCCATTCAAAGACGGGCTCGAGGCTTAAACCCTCTTTCTGTTTTTCAAACATTCCCCCAAAATAGTGCTTGAGTTGGTTGCCGTTGACTTTGACAACCTGGCCGTCATTATGCTCAATCTCCACACTTCCATAGGGATACACTCGACGTAAGTGTATGGTCCCGTCCATCGGGACTTCAGCTTCCCAGGAAAAAGTTTCAACCTTGAATTATACAACGACACCTTCCCCCCCTTCGCAAACTGGCGGTCCGCCGTAATGTGCTTGTCATGAGCCTGCTTTACTCTCTCTTCGTATAAGTATGAATTATGGAAAGCCTGAGCCCTCCACTCATCCAATTCATTCAGCTGAAAGAACCGTTCTTTACCTGCACTAGATGAATCAAGACAAACAGTCCTTAAAGCCTAAAGTGCCTTATGCTCTACCTCCACAGGTAAATGGCAAGACTTCCCATAAACTAATCGGAAAGGAGTAGTACCAATCGGGGTCTTATAAGCTGTCCTAAAAGCCCATAGCGCGTTATCTAATTTTTCTGACCAATCCTTACGAGTTTGCGCTACAGTTTTTGTAGGATAGCCTTAAGATCCCGATTTGCATCTCTACTTGCCCCTGAGTTTGGGGGTGGTAGGCTACTCATTGCCGGTGTTGAATCCCATATTTAGACAAAACACGAGCTAGCGGATCATTACGAAAATGGGTTCCTCGATCACTAATCAAAACTTTGGGGACTCCAAACCTAGAAATCAATTTTTTTACAAAACGCACAACCACTCTAACATCATTAGTAGGGCTCACGATAGCCTCTACCCACTTTGACACATAATCAATAGTGGCAAAAATAAATTTATTGCCTCTTGAGCTAGGGAACGGGCCTACAAAATCAATCCCCCACACATAAAAAACTTCACAAGGCATTAGATATGTCTGGGGCATCTCATCTCGTTTAGAAATATTTCCTACCCGTTGACAGCTATCGCATGAGGCAACATAAGAATTCACATCTTTGAACAACGTGGGCCCAGTAATACCCACACTCTAACACTCTTCTTGCTGTCCTATTACCATAAAAATGCCCCCAGTGGGGCCAACATGACAATGGTAAAGAATCTCATTCATTTCACCCTCAGGAATGCACCTTCGTACTACTTGGTTAGCACAAATCCTGAACAAATAAGGATCATCCCAGAAATAATACTTAGCATTGGACAATTTTTTTTAACATGTGTCGAGATAGCCCGGTAGGCTCAACATCGCCTACTAAGTAGTTGGCTATGTATGCATACCAGGGTGCCTCAGATCCAATCTCAACCTGCAAAAGACGTTCATCAGGAAAAAGTTCTTCAATACCATCGTTACCGAAAGAGTCTACCAAGTACCAAGTCAACATCTAATCGTGATAAATGATCAGTTGCTTAATTGGTGGAACCCCTCCGGTCCCTAATCTCTATGTTAAATTCCTGCAACAACAAAATCCAACGGAGAAGTCTAGGTTTAGAGTCATGCTTCTGAAATAAATATCTCAACGCCGAATGATCGGTGTAGATAATTACTTCAGATAAAATAATATACGACCTAAACTTCTCCAAACCATACACAATAGCTAGAAGCTCCTTCTCTGTAGTGGTATAATTCAACTGGGGTCCCGCTAAGGTTTTGCTAGCGTAATAGATGGGGCGGAAGTGATTATCCTTCCGTTGGCCAAGAATGGCCCCGACCACCTGATCGGTAGCCTCGCACATTGGCTCAAAAGGGATTTCCCAATCTGGAGCAACTAAAACTGGAGCTTCCATCAACTTAAGTCTCAAAGAGTTAAAAGCAAGCAAACATTCATCATCAAACAAAAAATCAGCATCTTTCTCAAGCAAACATGTGAGAGGTTTGGCTATTTTTGAGAAATCCCGAATAAAGCGAAAGTAGAAGCCGGTGTGACCAAGAAAGCTACGGACAACCTTTATGGTCGTTGGAGGCGGGAGTTTCTCAATGACCTCAATTTTTGCCTTGTCAACCTCAATACCCTTTAGAAGACACCTTATAACCTAGCACAATACCCTCCTTGATCATGAAGTGACACTTTTCCCAACTCAAGGCCAAGTGGGTCTCCTCACACCTAATCAACACTTTCTCTAAATTATGGAGACATTCATCAAATGATTCCCCAAAAATAGAGAAGTGATCCATAAAACCTCCATAAAATCACCAATAAACTTCTCAAAGATAGCTATCATACAACGCATAAATGTGGCAGGGGCATTGCATAGACCAAAAGACATGTTACAAAATGCAAATGTACCAAATGGGCAAGTAAAAGTGGTCTTTTCCTGGTCAACGAGATCAACGTGTGTTTGAAAGTACCCACTCATCCCGTCAAGGAAACAATAATAAGCATGCCCTGCCAAGCTCTCAATCAACTGATCAATAAAAGGTAAGGGAAAGTGATCCTTCCGAGTG